AGTAACAATTCGATGCAGGAAACTCTTTCTTTCATGCCGCAAAAGCAAAATTTCGGAAGTGGCTCTTCGATTTTCCATCTGTCTCTCAGTCAACTCATGCGGCACCCAATTTCCTTCCTTTTGAATTTTTCCCATGGCATGTAAACGTTTGGAAGTATCTTGGCGAGTCATGTTTAATGCCTCCGCAAGTTGATCTTGTGTTTGCGTATCATCTTCATCCAATAACGCTTGCAGATCGGCATCCTCAATTGTTTTTGGTCTTCCGGAGCGCTCCTTGTCCTTAGTGTCGAAATCGCCATTCTGAAGCGTTTAAACCAATCTTCACAAGTAGTTTTCGATGGTGCATGTTCGCCGTAGGCTTCCTCAAGCAAACGACGTGTTTCAACTGCATTTTTTTTTCAAGTTAAAGCAGAAAAGCAAAGCTTCCCGCAAATGCTGTTTATTTGGCACAAAACTCGACATCTTCATTGTTAGAAAAAATATTTTTGCGTTGCGATATGTGTTGGTATTATGACTGGTTATTGTTGACAGATGTCCAAGCTATAAAAGAAACACAACTTTAGATATGTATGTCGACTACATGTGTCGTTAGCGCCATCCATGTGTGAAACCCGGAAACTTAGTTGCGCACCTAGTATGTGTACGCAACTGGAAAGCATCCTTTGTTACTCACTAAATGTGGAACAAAGATAGAATGATGTTTGTGTCGACTTGTATCTCTTGTTGGAAAGCAACCAATATGTGACATATATTATAGTGTTTTTAGTAATAGAGTGCATCCAGATGAGAAATCTGAACGCAGCCCAAAAGGTTGCGCGCGTTTCAGGTATATATTTCCAGGTATATATTTAGTATATATTTCAGTGATCTTTCATTATCCTTAAGTCCCGATCTATAATAGGTGTAGTAATCTTTAAGCCATAAGAAATTAACCAATCACGATTGATTATTCTTCTATAATTCAACTATGATTAGTCAATTTCTTAAAACTTAAAGCTTACTACACCTATTGTAGATCGGGACTAAAGGAGGATTGACACCGCGTTCGAA